CCTTTGAGTGATGGGTATGAATCTCAAATGTCTATGGGCTACAGTATTACCAGTCATCAGTAGCCATTATCATCATCAGCAGCCATTAGTCACGACGATGACGGTGATAATGAAGACGATAGGGTTAGAGACACACACAAAAAGTCAAGAACAGAAGAGAGAGAGACGTAGACAAAATTTTATCTGCGTTTCCTCTGTTCCCATCTTTTTGTGCGCAGCTCTAACCGCGTTCAATCACAACCAACTCGCCCAACTGACCACCTTACTACAATGAAGAGAATGAATGGTGTCATAACGATGATGCTGGTGGCTATAAAAGAAAAGTTTAATTTTCTTCCTCTCTCAACATTTGTGGGGCGTGTCCTTCTTCCATCAAGCCCGATTGAACAAATCGCCCCTCGACGTAATTCTTTTTTTAAAAAGGGTATGTCTCTTCGTTTGGGGGGGAAGATGCGCGGTCGTGTTGGGAAAGAGGGGGAATAAGCGTGCGGTTAGTCTGAGGGCACTGATGAGTCAAACCGGACGAGAAATCCCTCCGTGGTCCCTTTAACCTCGACGCGCAGTCCAAAAGTAGGTGCCGGACGACCTTGACGTCGTAGTTTTCGGCCATTGCTGCCAGTGGGCAATTCCAGTGACCGACCGAACAACGCGTGCGAGCGGGAAGCCAGAATGTGGGACTTGCCGTCACCTTTCCCAGGGTGCTTTGGAGAGGTTAGAGAGACATTTCTGTCGTGCATCGAGCCTTCTCGCTTGCCATCTTTGGCATCACCACTTTGTTCTTTCTTTTGTTCTTTCCGATGTCGAGACGCCGAACGCTGTGTGTACTTGTTGGCAATGTTGTGTACGTCGAGGCGTCGTGAGACCGTCTCGACTCGCGACTGTGAGAACACAATCACCCACACTCGGCTGTGGCTTTGAGCGCACGGGCAAAAGTGTGCGCCCCCCATGCGCGTGTACGGAGCGTAGGTGAATTTTATAATAAACTGTTCCTACTTGTTGCTGCACGTGTGAGTTTCTTTTCCGTCTGTCACCGACGGAGATTTTCTCGACCGCTGCCATATTCTACGGAATGCGCTCGATGCCCGCTGCAAACCTAACGATAGCCTAGGCTTTTTAGCCGGTTGTTGTAATATCTGGTTCGTATTTTTGTGCGGGAAGTGCTGTAGTGCATTGTTTTTCGGATTTCTTGCATGTCGCACGTTTTGAGCTAATGCGCATGACGGACGAGCATGGGAATAACTTTACAACCCTTAATTTACGAGTCTCTTAAAGGGGCTGTGCAACGATTTTCGGACTTTGATTGAATAAATGGGAGAGCTCATCCTTGTCACTTGTTGAATCGAGAAGAGAAAACCTTTCTTGCTTGCGCACTAGTTTTCATTGAAAACAATGAAATGGAGTTTGTTGTACCTCTCAACCCTCGCACCACCTTCCAAGTCTCAGTGAGTTGGGTCTTTGGCACCCACTTTTAAAGGTTCGGGCACAACAGAACACCACACCTCGGCATTGTCGAGGGTTGCAGCGAGCAGTCTTAGTCGAGACGAAAGAGAAGATGCATCGTCGAACGAACCCAGTTCCCCAGGATAGCAGCAGAGTCAGGAAAGTTTGGGTGACTTCGAGTTGATGGCGACATGAAAACGTCCCTAAAACATTGGTGCTAATATAGGGCTTTTTGTGCAGTTATTTGTGCTTAAGGGCCACAATGTTTACAACTTCATTGAGCAGAAAATTGCACAACTTGCAAGCGTACAACAGCGTTCCTTCACGACGTTGCATCATAGTTCTCATGCACACTGTACATTGCTGCAGGTTGGGGAATATGAAGTTTTTTTCCTCGGCGATTACGTGACAGAATCACTCTTTTCTGGGAAGTGACATGCTTTTTTTTTTTTTTTTTTCAATAGACGACATGAGCAATATGAGCTGCAAATTTTTTCACCGTTTAGATCATTGCACTACCCCTTTAAATTTCACGGAAGTTTACAAATGCAAAATTTTATGCATCCGCCATGCCCGATTTGTCATAATGTTAAAGGGAAGCTGAAGAGGTTCTTGAATAAAATGAGTTGGAGGCGAATTCTAGGGTATTTTTATCCCGTGAATCTGATTATTACCTTTGTTTTCCCCGAAGATGTAACTAAATGCGAGAAAACATGAGAAACCTCCGACCAGTCGTTGCGTCATACCCAGATCTTTCGGCTGCCAAGCGCGTGCATTGCAAGCTTGCCAGGTATATCCCCTCGCACCTACACCAGTCGGGACGTCTCTTTTTGACCTTTTTGAAATAGCAAGAGTGAGCATGCGTAGCTGCGATAGGCGCCAAAGATGCGCGAGAACGGAGATTTCGAAAACTCTGGATATGACGTCATGTTCTAGGAAGGAGGGGATTCGCGCACCGAATTGAAAAAGGTAATCTCGATAGTCATAACCCTGGAGGCAAATGAAGATGATTTAAGGGTTTCTCCTCGAACACACGGTCACTTCAGTTTCTCTTTAAGGATGGGACAGCAGCGCTGAATTCTGGTGGCCTTTCTTCAGCCATAATAGTTAGGCATATTCTAACTGTTTCGGCGAAGACTTAAAAAAATTCCTACCAATAGGGTGAGAAAAACTCGTTTGCTCGATTGTGCCGACAAAGATCAGGGAGCTCAGAATAGGTCTCGCGTGTTGCGCAGGCATGCGGGGCACCACCACGAGCCACGATCCGTGTGTGGTTAGTGCTTATTCATTGCACACCACAGACGTTAGCCAGGGCAAGATCGAGCGAGCAAATGCGCCGCATGGACGCTACTTTGTATTGCTTTCTTGCGCGATGCGTGACGTCAATGAGGCAACCGGTCGCACGATGTTAGGTCGCTCTCGCCGGCACGCTTTGCCAGGAGCCCAATGCTTCCACAGTAGCTGTGGTCCTGTGCAGGTCGGTGCAATGGTATCCGACTGCATCGACCCGGGTTCGAGCCCCGCTCTAAATTGACTTGTCATGTAACGCTCCCAGCATGGGACTTGTTCATGACGCTCGTCTATGCTGATCATTCATGACGCTCTTTCTTGACGATTTTCTATGAGAAAATTGTAGTGAAACATAATCTGCGTTAAAAGAAGCTCGGGAGAAAACTGCCAGCCCTGACAGACATCGGGGATGGCAAAACGCGTACTAATTAGACAGATATTTAACTGAACTTTACTAAAAATAAACAAATGGTTTCAATCAGAAACTCGCTAAGCATCATCAAAACCCCCAGATCAATAAATTTTATGAAGACTTACTACAAAGCATGTGTGAAACGTGGACGGTTAGAATATGCTGCTCATTTTCACGTCGCCAGCCTCGTGCCTGCTGCATGAGAGGTAACTTTAGCACACTCCTGAGCTTCGCATATATTTTAAATCCTCCTAAAATTGACTGATTTAAAGGTTTTAAAACAACGCTTCACATGTTGTTTTAAAATGATTGAGGCTACATGTTGATTTTCACTAATTAAAAAGTTATTTAGTGTATTTTAGTTAATTATCTTAATTACCGTAAAATTAAGGTGGGAGCACCCACTCCACTTTCACTGAAAACTCGGTTAATGTAGGCATGGGCGCTTGTCAGGTATAATCGGGCTCTTAACGTATAATTTGCAGAATTCTCAAGTTTGTGAAATGTTAATAGTGGCTGCTTGAGCGAAGTGGGCCTTCCGCGGTATTTTGTTTTTGCAATCCCTGATGTCTGCCATGTCTGGCAGTTCATTCCCACAGAGTTTTCCTTTATCAGCCTATGATGGGAATTTTTGAAAGTCACTTGCTGAAACACTTGGTATACTTGTGTGTGCTGATAATAAAATCAAACAAATTCCCGGTGAAATGGATGGAATAATGTAAAACTGTTGCATTCTTCAGCATCTCTCACACCTGTTGCCATATTTTGGTAGGACCTTTTTCCTGAGGGGCTGTTTCGAGCGAGCCAGCCAAGGAACTTGTGAAGATTTAGGAATGCAATGTTTTTACATGTCCCAACCAATGCTTATGTCATTCACCCTTACGTTAAGCGGACACTGCAGCCCAGGCTACAAGCACGAAAGGATGATATCGCGGCTTTAAAATGTTCTACAAAATGGGCGCTCATTCTAGGAAGGCACATCTCGAAGCAAAGAGTGTGGGATAGCTTCCACTTGTAGCTCTAGCTGCAGTGTCGGCTTAAGGATGAACGCGGTACAGTGTAAGAATGTGGTGTTGGTCGTGCTTTCACTTTATCCCCTGCTTGGTTTTGTACTACCTTTGAAATTTTGTTGCGTTTGTTCTCATACTACTTTTTTGTTTAGCTTGCATGAGGGGAATGGCAAGTTTTATTTGCTCCTTGGTGGAAATTTTTTTCTTCTGTTCACGTCTCTGTAGGTAAAATACTTTTTCAAATTGTTTGTCAGGGCCACCTATCTGGCTTGATCCGTCGCTTCCTGAAACGGGCACGCCATCCGAGTACATTGGCTCTCTAGGTCCCGATTCTCTATCGTTTAGGTCACACACGCGGACCAACGTGTCTGGACGTGCGACATTTGTAGCCCTCTTCGCTGGAAAGGTCGCGCAGCTACGTAAATCTAAACTGTGCCACAGAGTGACACTTCGAAATTTTTGAGACAACACACTTATTACGTTTGCTGGCCACTCCTCTCTTTTCTAGGAGGAAAGCACATTGGAAATGCGCAGTCAAAGAAAAGGGGCATGGGTCAGATTAGAAAGGCTTCTGCTCACCCGTGACATCTCCGAACACTTGTGTAAGCTACTGAGAGGCGCTTATTTCCAGAGGTCGTTACACGCTTCTCAGTGTATTGCACAATTTTGCGGGAACTTTTGAAACTTTTAAGTGCTTGGTAAAAATTTGCACCTTGCCATTCTCCTTACCCAAATAGCAGGTTCGCATGTGTCTAACTTTGTTCTCGCTTCTGCATTGCTTGCTTTCTCGAATGCCTTTCTTTACGTACTCTTATGATTTTCTCCCACCGGGCGTTTTTTTTCTTCAGTTGCCATTGATTTGCACTCCCCGCCGCCACCTCCCTCGCCCTCGTCGACGCGAGAAAGAACGCCGCACAGGGCGGAGAATGGCATCGGAGTTGTCGCTCAGAGAGGCCAACAACCGAGGCTTAGCGACGACCTGTCCGCCACGTCTGGCGTCGGTCAGAGTTCGCCTCTCCAGGACCACGGGAGGGACGAGACGATGGGTGACCTCTCTTCCTCAGCGTCAAGGCTCGACTCCTCTGCAAGCGACGTGCGCCGAAAGGTACGAACATGCGCATTTGAGCTTGCGCAGGTCCAAAGACTCTAAAGAGAAGTCTCCCAGGGGTCTCTTTGTGGAGGCTCGTGGAGTCTCGAGGGGACCGTTTTGTCCTTGGTGCTGGAGATGGGCATTAGGCAAGATTGTAGACTCCCAAGCGCCATGTTTGTCTCGATTTTTACAACTACCATTGTTCGTAAAAAAGAAGGGAAACCAGCGAGTGCACCTTTCTGTCGCCCAGTTTGTTGGTACAGCCGACGAAACTTGATGGCCTCGAAAAGGCTGTCTCCAAGCATAGAAGGGTAGTGTTTCACGGGCATGGATTCTTCCAGTCGTACCGGAATTTTTGTCACGTGAAACAACAAAACTGACTTTAAAACTTAAATTTTCTATGCGGGAATTTTTACTGCACCAGCACCTTCAATTCCTGCACCAACATGTATTTATTTATTTATTTGCTTATTTTCTGTGCTTATGAGCAGCTTGACGCCTTCATAATTATGCACAACAGATTTATCGTGGGTTAGTTACAAATGCCACAAAAGTTAAATTAAAAACATCACTATCTGCTATACCAAGGGTATTACACGAGTGTTGAATACTGTTGAGACCGGTTATAACGAAGTCAACGGGAATCGGAAATCACTTCGCTATATCCGCTATTTCGTTATAACCGACTTCGGTTATAACGATGAAAAAAAAAAAAAGGGAAATCGTGATCGCTTCGCTATATCCGCTATTTCGTTATAACCGGTCTTGACAGTACGGGTCATGGGACTGGTTGGGATGATTTAATTAACGTGGAGAGTCTGAGAAATCCGCAAAAATCTACCTGGATTATGAATAATAATAGCTGATGTGAGGTCAGGACAATCAATTAATCCACTAATACATTTATAGAGGAAAACTAGATCTCCCGCACGTCAAGTAGAACTCAAGAGAGAGCAACTGCATCGTTCCAAGAGTCTCGCATAGGAATAGTATCAGTACGACCAATATAACGATTGTAGAAAATTCGAAAGAAATGCTTCTGAACATTTTCGATCATCTTCTGACTTGTAAAACTAATTAAATTCCGGACAACAGGCGAAAGCTCCAACTTGTACCGGATTAACGAGAGCTTCATCGTAAAATACCCATTGACATGGAGAACTCTCACGGAATTCTAGAGATGAGACCGAGCTTACAAAAAGAGTCATTTATAAGGTTATTAACATGTACTGTAAAAGATAAGGAAGAATCTATGGATACACCAAGACCAAGTGTGCAGTCGACTCTTCGCAACGGAACATTGCCAACCTGGTAACAAAAGTGGATTTTTCCTGCCATTTTAAACAGACATAAACAGTTTTAGAAGGATTGAGCATCAACATGTTCTGACGACACCAATCCCACACTGATTTAACATTGTCCATAAGCTCTTCGCAGTCATCCAAGGATAAGATCTACCTATACAGTTTGGTATTATCTGCATATTGCAAGATGACTGAATTATGTACACTTGAGGTAAGGCCATTAATAAAAATATTTAAAACATCAACCCAATTTGGACCCCTGCAGCTCACCTGAAAGAGGAACATGGGGCTGGGAAAGAGGTCCAAGAACATGCACAAAATTGTGTCTGTCAGGCAGATAATCAAGGAACAACGAGCAAAGTGAGGTACTCATGCTATAAGATCCTAATTTATACACAAGGAGCGAATGGTCAAGCAAGTTGAAAGCCTTTGAAAGGTCAAAATATGCAGCATCTACCTGTCTATGCTGACACACAGTAGGTGACACAAAATTAAAAAATGACACTAAATTTGTCTTCACAGACCTTCCACACACAAAGCCATGTTATGAAGGGCTAATCTTTTCCTTAAAAAAGTTTGAAATGTGATTGAATAAATTTCATAGACCTTTGCAGATGGACATAGCAACAACACGGGTCTTTAATTTTTGGCATCGTCCGTTCTGCCATCATTACCGTATTTACTCGCACAATGAACGCACTCGCGTAATGAACGCACCCCCCAAGTCGGCTCTCAAAATTTCGACTTTTTTTTTCACTCGCGTAATAAACGCACCCCCAACTCGGACGTCAAAATTTTGACCCCCTCCTCCCATGCGCGAGAAATGAACGCACTTTTCTATCCTGGTGCAGCGAGGTCGGGAATGCATGGGCAGCGTGGTCGAACAAAACGCCTTGCAAAAGGCGTTTAAAAAATTTGCAAAGATCCAACGGAAGCAAAAAAAAAACATGCAAAAAAAGCTTTTTTTTTTTTTTTTTTGCACAGCGCAGTTTGGATTTCGGGTTCGCGCGCCGCCGCGCGCAAGGAGGTAAGAAAGAGAAGCGGAGAAGCGCTCTAAGCGAACGAAACAGCTTGCGAAAGGCGGCAAAAAGAAAGAAGAGAAACCCACGGAACTAAGAGAAAACAAAAACAAAAAAAAGCTTTTTTCTTTTTTTTTTTTTTTTTTTTTTGCACAGCGCAGTTTAATTACGGGGGGTCGCGCGCCGCGCGCAAGGAGGTAACAAAGAGGAGCGGAGAAGCCCTCTAAGCAAACCAAACCGCTTGCGAAAGGCGGCAAAAAAAAAAAAAAAAAGAACAACCCACGGAACTGAGAAAAAAAAAAGAAAAAGAGGAGCTTTATTTTCTTTCTTTTTTTTTTTGCACAGCGCAGTTTGGTTACGGGGGGTCGTGCGTCGCGCGCCGCGCGCAAGGAGGTAAGAAAGATAAGCGAAGAAGAGCCCTCGCCTAAGCAACGCCTAAGCAAACAAAACAGCTTGCGAAAGAAAAGCAGGCGGCAAAAAAAAAAAAAACAAGGAACTAAGAGAAAAAAAATACAAAGAGGATTTTTTTTGCACAGCTTAGTTTGATTACGGGGTCGGGCGCCGCGCGCAGAGAGACAAGAAGTTACTTCGATTTTTCAGGATAAAAGGTCCGTTCATTATGCATTGTTCATTATGCGAGTAAATAACCGACCCAAAAATTTTACTTCGCGTAATGAACGCCCCCCCTAACTTTGCATCGATTTTTCGGAAAAAAAAGTGTGTTCATTCTGCGAGTAAATGCGGTATGTACTGGCACAGTAATAGAGTTCTTCCAAAGGGAAGGAAAGGCGAGACTCTGCAATGAAAAGTTAAAATATATGTTAAGACTGGTGAAAAAAAAAAAGACATTTACAACTTCCTGTAACGCCGAATTAGAGCGCAGCTCTTGAGGAGGAGGAGGGAAGGGTACTGAGGGGAGGGTATACTCCTCCCTCCACCTCACCTCCTCACCCTCCCTGCTACTCCCCCTCCCGCCATGCTTCAAGCTCCTCTCCCTCTCCTCCTCACCCCTCCTCCTTCCCCTCCTCCTCCTCCCCTCCTCCCCCTCCCCTGCTCACTCCTCCCACTCCCCGCACGGTGCATTATGGGAAATGTCCCATAATGCACTGCGCGGGACCCTTGTGACGTCACAAGTCACGTCACGAGGGTCCCGCGCTGTGCATTATAGGACATTTCCCATAATGCACCGCGCGGTTATGCTAACGGTTCCGCCGACGGCGATGCCGCTCAAGCCAGAAACGGGCGCCTAAGATCTGCGCTCTAAAATAGAAGAGCATCCTTTAAAGGGCAACTCCGCTTCATTTTCGATGCTGAAAAAACAACGCAGTTCTCTTTAGTATCACCTGGAAAGACTACACGTCAAGTTTTACGACGTAATTAAGCCTAAAAGTTTGTTAAACTGGTAAACAAAGTTTGAGATGCCTCAAGTCTCCGAAATCTGCTAATTCTAGCGGCCGATGTGCGGCGCAGAGAACAGCGCAGTCAATACCGCGTGTTGGCGCAGCCAACACTGCGCCGCAGGTCATGGTCTGGGACCGCTGTTTTTTCTTGTTTTTTACTTTATTGAGGCGCAGCCTACAGGCGGCGCCAGCAGCGTGCATACCGATGTCCACGTGATCCAAAACGCGCATGCGCTGATGAGCGTCTGAGCGAGCGCTCCGCGCTCGTCGTCGGGAAGACCGAACCTGCTGCGTCTCGGAGCAACGTTTTGTGCTGCGATGCCTGGCATATTACGAGTGGTTTACTTAACTTCAACTACTAATGGTTCCAAAACATAACTTTAAAACAACTTGCCTTTTTCTGCGTCAAAACACTCTGCGGCCGCGGTAGTGCACACGTCGTTGGATAGCAGAGACCGTGGAGCAGATGACACGGCGCGACGACGCTTGCTCCGCCGATCCGTTCGTCCGCGCGGTCAGCAAGGGCGTGCGGTGACGTTCGTACCACGTGGGTTGTCCCAGACTATGACGACGTGGGACCAATGTTGCCAGGCGCAGTTTCGGTTTCGGTTCGTGATCAGGAGTAAAGAAGGATTACGAGAATTATATTTCCCTTTTTGAGAAACAAACGACGTCGAGCCATTTATTAGTATACCTTAATGTATAAGCGCCAAAAACCCCGAAATTCCTGGAATTGAGCGGAGTTGTCCTTTAACAGTGAAGCTCGGGATACCGTTAAATGCGACTGAAAACTTTGGCTTGAGTTTTCTGGTAGAAAGTTCAATGTCAATAAGTTCAAAAAAGTGAAAGATGTTTACAATCCCCTGTGACGCCGAATTAGAGCGCAGCTCTTGAGGAGGAGGAGGAGGAGGAGGAGAAGGTGCGGAGAGGAGGCTATGCCCCTCCTCCTCTCCTGCTCGCCTTCCATTTAGCGTAAAAAATTTTTCTGCTAAATTTGGTGGGGATTTTTGTTTGCTTAATTTAGCGGGAAAATTTTCCCGCTAAATTGAGCGGGAAAATTTTCTCACTAAATTTGGTGGGTAAACTTTTTCTGCTAAATTTAGTGGTAAAACTTTTTTTTGCAAAATTTAGCGGGGCATTTTTTCCGCTAAATTGAGTGGGAAAATTTTCTTGCTAAATTTAGCAAACAAAATTCCCCGCCAGCGGAAAAATTTTTTTCTGCTAAATTTGGCGGGGAATTTTGCCGCTAAATTTAGCGGGGAAATTTACCCATAATGCACTGCACGACTACG